GATTTTATGCTGACCTCTTGACTTCACCTGATAAGACTTTTTCTAAAGGCAACTCATAAAGGCTTCTTACTTGCTTCAGTGGATGAGATCAGAGGCTCTGGCAAAGGAATAGAGGACAAATGTAGATTTTGGCATCATGGTGGGTGATGTAAACTTCAGCACCATGAAATAAATGCACTAGCATAATGTTTCATTAACTAAGCAACTAAAGATGATAATACTTAAATTGGAAGATAAAGAAGTAGCCATCCGTTTGCGTTTCCACCTTGCAAGATAACTGGATCAAGCCTTCAAAAGACACCAAGTCCGCATTCTGTTCACGTATCAAAAGATTTCACTGCAAGTTCACAGTCCAAAACTGATCACTTTCCAAGACAGAGATTTAGAAAGAAGATTAACTTTCAATAAAACCCCGCATCTTTGAATGACAAATATAGGAGTTCTCAACTGCAGTGCTTGGACACAGCATCCTCATCCAGAAATTTATTTTTTCTCCCCTATCAAATCAATCACGAGTTAAAAGCCTGCGGTTTTAACTCCCCATCATCACACTTACTTTGTTAAACGTTGATGTTGCCTGGCTTTATGTGCAGCTTAGGCTTAAAGTGCTACATGCAAACTTAGTAACTCTGAGGATATGCATTGGGGTTTTCTTTTGATACCACCTTACTACTGTTATAACTTGTGCGCTGGTAACACACCGAGCTCCCCCCCGCTGGGGTAAGAATCCCACATGTTAAACACCACTTGAACAAAAGCAAAGACAACTCCAGAAATCTTGTGATTGAGGAATCAAGTCAGGGAAGCAAGAGACGGGCGCAGGGAGAATGATAAAGGAATGAAAAGAGGAGCTGTTGTGCCCCGGCGTAACTGTAAATGCCGAACCCTGCCCTGTGCCACCACCGCCCCAGAGGGTCCAGCCCCTCAGCGGCCCCTCAGGCTCAGCACTGCCTGGGCACACGAGGTTCAGGAAATGGGGTGATCCCCCCATGCTACCCAGAGCCCATCTCCTCACTGCTGCAGGAGAGACAGACAGGGAAAATCCACACCAGGATCCCTCATCTGTCTCAACGATGCCAGTCCGGGGACCCAAACCTCCTCCGGCACAGGCAGAACGTGGCAGATACAGCCCTGCATCCCTACGGAGGTAAGATCACAGAAAGGAATCTCAGTCTAAAATGAAATAAGGCTCAGGGGAATGCAGACATTACTATCTCCATATTATTGTACAGAGACGGAGCAGGTATGAATCTTGCAAAGCAGACAACCACAGAGGAAACGTACCACCACGGGGGAACCTGCAGTGAACCCCCGCCACCCCAAGCCCCTCCACAGTCAGTTTTCCTACAAACACACCTGAAGCCCAACCCGAAGGTCCCCAGTGTAAGCAGCAGCAATGACATTTCACCGTCCACCCGCACCGGTCTGCACAGCGGGCAGTCAAGTGAAAAATTAAGAGGAGCAACCTCGTTGGTACCTGTTAATGTGATTTAATGAAAAACGGACTATCAAGCAAGCTTACTATTTTTATTGTGCTAAAATGTAAAACACTTTTGACCCAAACAGCTGATGGGACACACAAAACTTTTCTAAAAAATTTGTCATAACCCCAGATGATGCTCTGATTTTTGCCAACAGAAAAATGAACAAAAACTGCACTAAATGGGTTCAACTCAGGCAACTGACGGATTACAGCGAGTAGCTGGAAAGAGAATAAAACCTACCACCCGAAAGCACTGTTTGTAACAACGTCCAGGAGCCTCTCTTGCCCCTTTTAGAGGGGGGGTGTACGAAAGCTCTGAAGGGCTGGAAGCCACGACAAATTCAAGCTAAAAATAACCACCGGCGGGTGAAAACAATAACGGCAGGGTGACTGTCAGCACATCCTGCACAGCGGCGGGGGGACCGGCCGCCTTCTTCATGACACCGTGTTTTTCTGAAACATGTGCCCTCGCACAAAAACAGGCTGCGGAGAGATTCGGGAGGTCGATTTTGGGGTTTGTGCTTCTCCAGGGGTCGGGCTGTGCACTGGCTGTCCTTCTTGGCTCTAAAACACACACCACCTCCGGCTCTGTGTCTTGCGAAATGGCTCCTGCGCTTTTGAGTGTAACCAAACGTAAATATGATATTGGCAGGAAAAGATTAAAGATTAAGCACTCACTAGAAACGCTTGCCTCTGAACGACTCAAAGCCAGGAGAGAATCTGATTTTCCCTGGAGTTCAGCCACCAAACTCTAATTTTCCTCCACGGATAAAACTACCCATTTCAAACTCTTACTTAAAAACAAAAAAAAAAAAATCTTAGGAACCACAAACATACTAATCCTCAACAAAGCACGTCAATGCATCCCTCGAGTGTGCACAGGAATCTGAGCAACTGAGCCTAGCGAGCAAACACTGCTACATCTCACGCTTCTGCTCTCTACAAACAACACTTCCCTGCATCTCCTGAAGAATTTCACTGTTCCAGGGAAAAGTGACTGGTGCTGTCAATTTTTTTTATCATTAAAATCATGCCATGTGGAAGAAAAAAAAAAAAAAAAAAAAAAAAGACACAACCAAACCCTTTCACTTTCAAAAATCTGTCAAAAATTAATCCTTTCACTTTCAAAAATCCATCAGACACCTACCTCTGCTTCACGGTAGGAGCCTGTGCTATCACAGACGTGTGTGCAGCCAACACAACCCTCATTTTCTGCTTCCAGGGAACACATAAGGGAAGCATCATGTGCTATCTGCAGATAGTCACTACACTGAACTGTGAGCAACAGCTCTAGAAGCTAAAAAGCAAATGGCCAAGTGATCTCAAGAGGACACACAAACTTTAGCAGAGTGCAACAAGCTCTGAACTTCCCAGCTAACCCAGCAAGGTACGGGGCGCAGTCACACTGCGAGTTACCTGCATCCGGAGCAAACAAACCCCTTATTGACCACATTCATCTGCATTTTGGGCTTCAACCAGCAACCAGCTATTCCCTTGCAAGCTGTCACATGGTGTTCTGCAGGTTTTTAAACCCAGAAGTAACTAGAACATGCCACTTGTGAAAAACCAAGAGTAATGAAAAGTTCCTCTTTTGCAGGAAAATCCCACCTGTAGATGATTTTATTAAAGAGAGCAGGTCTCTGGACTGCTCCCTGCCTGCCCTGCCCTGCTCTGCCTCTGCTCAGAGAGAAGAGCAAGTCAGCAGCTGAATCACCAGGGCTGCCACACTTCTGCAGGGCCTCCAAAAATAACTCATCTGGAAATTCCTTGGAGGCATAAACCTTGCTTCATCAGAAGGACTGCAGAGATCCAGTTTCCTTAATGGAACAGACTGGATGTAAACTGGCCTAAGGATTTAGGATCGCATATAAAGAATATAAAAAGAAACTTCCTTACAGAACAGCTAGCATGCGGTCAGTATTAAGGAGAAAAAAAAAAAAAAAAAAAAAAAAGAGTCACATAAATCATCACGTCGCTGAGATGAAACAATCTGCCTGCCCAGGAATCAGACGCCGAGTTCCCGATCCTTCGCCCGATACTGCGGCTCCAGGGACTTGCCCTGTTCTCACCAACCAGCTCTGTACACAAAGCAAAATGCCTTCTTGGCAAGGCTGCTGCGGCAACTTTCATCTGTATTAACACGAACACCCACACCTGCACCTTCCACTGTAACCAAAAACCCTCCGTGAGCTCCAGTCCCCGGGCCCTTGCTAACACACCAGCCCAAAAAGCCCGGCGAAGGAACAGCCTCGCACCCACGCAGCACCAAACACAGCACCTCCCCGTCACAATTAAGGTTCAGAGGTCCCCACTGCCTTTTTTTTACCGCCCTGAACTGGCATGTTATCCCTGATGGAAGCCGGCGGGACCCTCCGGAGCGGATCCAGGCTGCAGATGATGGTGGTGGAGGTACGGAGTCACCCGGGTGCTGACAGCTCTGCTCGCTGCCCAGCACCACGCCGTGCTCCAATGGGCTGGCCTGCACCCAGGCCAGCAGCGCTTCAGCTTCGGTGGGAGCCTTCCCCTTCAGAAACCCATTTATTCCTTCACCTCCTCACAGGATAACGACTCACCCGTCTTTTCTGTGAGCGTGCAAGAACTCAGCGCTGCTGCGATGAAATGGCACGGAGCTGAGGATTTCTGTTTCACTACCGACAATTAAAAGCACGTTTTACCGAGCAGGCTCCCAGCTCTGACCTCAGGGACTGTCACAAGGACACACAGCAGACACCAGTGCCCACGGTGGTTTCACCAACCCCCAGCCCTCCGCTGAGGCTGGCTCTGGAAGAAGCGTGCCGCTAAAGCCTGGCTCCCAAGGGAAAAATCCACCTGAGTCCAGAGGGGCTTGGGCTTCTCCTTTCTTTTTTTTGCGGAGTTGTTGGCTTTTGGGGCAGAGGGGAGGAAAATAAAGAGGGAAGCGGAATATCTGGCTGCTAGGTCTTTGCCTCTCTGCTTCAGGGCTGAGAGGTGGGAAAAGCTCAGCCCTGGGAGCCAGCGAGGGCAAGGCTTACCCAACCCCGGGGACTCCTTGCCCCCAGCCAGGCTGCCCACATGGGGAATGTCCTTAAAATAAATAAATAAATACACAAATAAATAAATAAATAAATAAAGCACTGGCATTTTCTGAACACACTGAGCCACGATCCAAAACTCACTGCAAAAACACTCTCATTAGAGAATAGCTGGAGCCCATCGCAAAAATAAACACGGGATTATTTTTGGCCCTCTGACCCTTGCCCCGAGCGCTGCGGGTTTCCGAACCAGGGCCAGGACGCGGCTCGCAGCAGCTTTTCCCCCAACAAACCGAGTGATACGCCTCAAAGCAGGGCTGGGGCCGGTTCGCTGCCCCTTTGCAAGAGAAACCGGCCTGAAGCCACCAGGGCAGGAGACCGGGGTTCACCGGGGGAAAATCGAGGGATCAATGGGGGGGGGGGGGGGGGGGGTGTCGAGGGATCCCCGCGGCTGGGGCCTCCGGGACAGGGGGAGCAGGTTGGGGGGTAGGGGAGGCCGGTCTCACCTGCGATGGCTGTCTCGTCCAGGTGAGAGCCGGGGGGCCTCTCCCCCCGTCCCTGCTGCAGGAGGAAGCCGCACAGGACCCACACGGCCACTCCCGACCGTAAATCCATTTCCGCGTCTCGTTTCGGCGTTTCCCCCCGGGTCGCTGTCAGCTCCTCCTCGGCATCGACCCGCCGGCGCCGGGCCCGGCCGCTCCTCTCACCTCACCTCAGCTCACCTCGGCCGGGTTCCCGCCGGACCCCCGCAGCCGAGCGGGGAGGGGGGCTGCTCACTGCGGGGCTGCGGCCGTCACCCACCTGAGGGACCGAGGGTTTATTTTTCCGGTATTCCCGCCCCGGGCAACCGCTACCGGCCCCCGCCCACCCCCCGGAACCAGCCCCGGGGGCTGCCCACCCCCCCCCCCCGCGCGGAGTGGTCTCTCCCGGGACAGCCTGCCCCCCCCACCTCCTCGCAGCATTGGGCTCTCCCTACTCCCCCCCCCCCCCCCGCTTCCTCAGCAGTGGGACAACCCTGTGTCGTCTTCCCCCCCCTCCCCAGCACTGGTCTCTACCGGGACAACCCTGCCTATCGTCACCCCCCCCTCGCCGTTCACACACACACACACACACACATACACCCCCGCCGCAGCGGTGGTCTCTCCCAAACACGCGCCCCGCTGCGCACCGGGCCCTCGCGCCGCCGCCGCACGCCCGGTGACAGGGGGCGGGGCCAACGGCCGCCGTGCGAGACCCCTCCGCGGGGCGTGGCCGCCGCGAGCGCCGCTGCCCGGCCAATCAGGGGCCGGGGGCCGGTGGCCACGCCCCCCCTCCCCGCGCTCTTCCTCACCCCGCCCCTCCCGCCTCCGTGGGGCGCCCCGCGCGCGCCGCTGAGCCGCAGCGGCCCCTGGCGGGCGCGCGGGGCATTGGGAGGGGGCAATACCCAGGCTGGGCGCGGGCCCCTGGCGCGGCGCGGAAGCTAAGCAGGGGTGGCGGCGTGTGATGACTGGATGGGTGACCTCACTGCCGGCAGCCCGCCTCCAGCCGCTGGGAAGATTTTACAAATCACAGAGCCACAGACTGGTTTGGGTGGGGAGGGACCTTAAAGATCATCTAGCTCCAACCCCCCTGCCCCGGGCAGGGCCCCCTTCCCCCAGCCCAGGGTGCTCCCAGCCCCGTCCAACCTGCCCTTGAACCCTTCCAGGGAGGGGGCAGCCACAGCTGCTCTGGGCACCCTGGGCCAGCGCCTCACCCCCCGCACAGGGAACAATTTCTGCCTTAGATCTCACCCAAATCTCCCCTCTTTCAGCTTAAAACCGTCACCCCTCGTCCTATCCCCACACCCTGATCCAGAGTCCCTCCCCCCCTCTCCTGTCCCCCCTTTAAGCCCTGGGAGGCCGCTCGAAGGTCTCCCCGGAGCCTTCTCTTCTCCAGGCTGAACCCCCCCAACTCTCTCAGCCCGGCCTCCCAGGGGAGCTGCTCCAGCCCCCCCAGCATCTTCGTGGCCTCCTCTGGCCCCGCTCGAGCAGCTCCGTGTCCTTCTGCTGTTGGGGGCCCCCGAGCTGGCCCCAGCACTGCAGGGGGGTCTCCCCAGAGCGGAGCAGAGGGGGAGAATCCCCTCCCTGACCCTGCTGCCCCCCCTGCTCTGGCTGCAGCCCAGGGCACGGGTGGGTTCTGGGCTGCGAGCGCACGGTGCTGGCTCACGGGCAGTTTTCCCCCCACCAACCCCCCCAAGTCCCTCTCCTTGGGGCTGCTCTCCATCCCCTCCTCGCCCAGCCTGGATTTGTGCTGGGGATTGCCCCGACCCACGGGCAGGACCTTGCCCTTGGCCCTTGTTGAACTCCATGAGGTTCACACGGTCCCACCTCTCCAGCCTGCCCAGGTCCCTCGGGATGCCATCCCTGCCCTCAGCGTGTCACTCACTGCACAGCTCAGTGTTGCTTCGACAGCCCCTGAGATATGCAACACCCCAATTCCATCGGAGCCATGTGCTCCCGGCAGCATCACCGCTTACCACCACCAGACCAGTGCCACCAGCATCATTGGGCCCACGGCCACCAGTGCCCAGAGCCCACCAGCCCATGATGGGGGACAGGATGGGGCTGAAGTTTCACGCGTCCTTTTCCATCAGCACCGGAGCTGAATGCGAAGCTGCCTGCAGGGATCAGGTCCCGCCAGAGCAGACATCTGTCATTCAAGCAGTGTCCCACTGTCCTGCTGTCCCACTGTCCCACGCCACTGCCCCAGGATGTAGGATGGGGGGCATGGGGCTGCGGAGCCAGCACCCATGAGGATGGGGACAAGCACCCTTGCTCCCAGAAGAGCTCCTGCATCTCCCTTGGGAGACCCTCCAGCCCCCGGGCAGGCAGCCAGGGACCCTCATGGGCTGTGGGTGCTGCCTGAGGTGCTGCTGGGGGGGGGGGCACCTGCCCCCCAGCTTGGGGGGACGTGACCCTTGGGGGACCTTCGCAGCACCGGCAGGGCAAGGCAGGGCTCGGGAGCTCTGCCCTCGGGGATGGGTGGCCCCGGTGCCCCCCTCCAAGCTGGTCCCCACCCCGCCCCCCCCCCCCCCCCCCCAGGCAAGGTCCCGGCCCCCCGGCCCGGGCCGAGGAAGGAAGCGGCGGGGGGGGGGGGGGCGGGCGCGGCGGAGGGAAGTTTCTCCGCGGGACCGCCCGGGGCGGCGGGAGGAGGCGGCCGCAGACTTCCTCCTCCTCCTCCTCCTCCTCCTCCTCCTCCTCCTCCTCCTCCTGCTCCTCCTGCTCCTGCCGCTGCCGCCGCTTCGGCCCCGCGCCCGCCGCGCCATGTCCCGGGGTGAGTGCGGGACGGGGGGGGGGCCGGGGAGGGCCGGGGGTCCCGGGGCCGGGGGTCCCGGGGCCGGGGGTCCCGTTGTTGGGGGTCCCGGGGTGGCGGGAGGAGCCACCCGCCGAGGCTGGGACCCGGCCGGAGCGGGGCGGGGGGTAACGGGGCTCCGGGGGTAACGGGGGTAACGGAGCTGCGGGAGTAACGGGGGTGCTGCCCCGGGAGCGGAGCTGCGGGCGGGAGCGTTGGCCGGCGGCTGCCGGGACAGCGGGGACAGAACCGGCCCGACCCCCACGGCACTGCCCACGGCACCCACTGCGCTGCTCACGGCACCCACTGCACCCACGGCACCCACCGCAGCTGCAGCCACGGGCGCCCTGACCCTGCACGCGCTGTCCCCGCCGTGCAGTGCTCACACGGTCCCGCTGCCCGCACTGCACGCCGTGCCCCGCTGTGCCTGGCGCTGCACGGGCTGCACTGCACGCCAGAGGGCACTGCACTGCACCCACTGCACCCACTGCACCCACTGCATTCACTGCACCCAGTGCATTCACTGCACCCACTGCATCCACTGCACCCACTGCACTGCACCCTCTGCACCCACTGCACTGCCCCCCTTCACTGCCCACTGCACCCACTGCTCCCGCTCACTGCACCCACTGCATCCTCCCACTGCCCTGCACTGCCTGTTGCGCTTCAACTGCACCCACTGCACCCCCCGCGCCTGCTGCATGCCCCACTGCACCCGCCAGGGCTTGGGGGTCCCCCCCCTGGAGAGGCCTGGGGGGGGCCCCCCCGCTCCCCAGTCCTGGCGTGGGGCCATGGGGGGTACACTGGGGGGGGGCTGTGGGGGGGACGTGCTACGCCACCGGTCGACCACCAGCTCCCAGTTTGGTTTGTGCCGCCTCTCAGTGCCGTCCCACTGCTGGCCAGCTGCAGGGTGGGGGCACCCGTGGGGCCCCCAGTGCCTGGGGGACGCGTGTGTGTGTGTGTGTGTGTGTGTGTCCCCACCCCTGGAGGGGCTTGGCGTGGCCGTGGCTCCATGGATGGGGGCACGGGCTGGGGTCCTGCTGGGCTCGCTCTTCTTTTCTTGGCGGAAGGAGAAGCACGTGGGGCCGTTGACGGGTGTTTTGGGGGGGGTGGGGTGGGCAGTGGAGCTGGCACTGGGGCCGCCAGGAGCTGGTGAATGGGCTTTGGTTGGGCCGGAGCACCAGGAGGTGCCAAACTGGCCGGTACTGGTGTGCTCGACACTGTGCCTCCCCCACGCCGCCGCTGTCCGGGCTGTTGTCTCACCCCAAGGCCGTGGAGCATGGCCTGGCCTGGCTGGCCCTGTCCATCCATCATCTGTCCACCCGTCCATCCCTCTGTCCATCCATCCATCCATCTACCTGTCCATCCCTCTGTCCGTCCATCCATCCCTCCATCCCTCTGTCCATCCATCATCCATCCTTCTGTCCATCCATCATCCATCTACATGTCCATCCATCCATCCATCCATCCATCCATCCATCCATCATCCGTCCCTCCATCCATCCCTCTGTCCATCTCTCCACCCAGCCCTCCATCATCCACCCATCCCATCCATCCCTCCATCATCCCTGTGTCCATCCATCTCCATCCATCCATCATCCATCTCCATCCATCCATCATTCATCCCTCCATTTCTCCATCCATCCCTCCGTCCATCCCTCTGTCTGGCCCAGGATCCCCCCGCCGCCGGCAGCCGTGTCTGGCGGGTGCTGCCCCGTGTCCCACCGTGGGGTTGGGGAGGGGGTTTGTTCCCCTGGGGGCGCGGGGGCTGCTCCTGCACCATCCATCAGGCAGGAGGCCGAGGGGCAGAGCGGGACACGGCGGTGGAGCTCACCGGCCCGGGAGGAAAATAAAATGAGGAAATTAGTCATGACAAGCCTGCAGCTGGAAAATGAGGGAAATCAAAATCCTTCGACTCAGCGTGAAAGTTATTTTAGTCACGACAGCAGGGCCGGGGGTACCAGCAGCAGTGCACCCCGTCTCGGCCGCGCTAGCACTGGGTCCCCACCCCACTCCCACGGCGGTGCTGGTGCCAGGCCGGCGCGCTCGGCCCCACGGGGTCCCTGCTCGGTATTTATAGATTTTATTAGTTTCCTCTTTCGGCCTGGGGAGCCAGCGGCAGCGCCGGGAGGGCCGCGCTGTGCCCCTCTCCCCTCAGAGCAGGAGGTGATGGCTGCTGACCCCCTGGCCCCAGGTCAGTCTGGGCTGGTCCGTCTGTCCGGGATGGACACACTGGCCGTGGGGTGCAGGATGTGGGGTGCAGGGTGTGCTGTGCACAGCATGGGGTGCAGGCTGTGGGGTGCAGGCTGTGGGGTGTGAGGTGCACAGCACGGGGTGTGAAACCGGGGGGGGGGGGGGGGCGGGCAGTGCACACTTTGGGGTGCTCATGGCGTGAGGTGCAGGGTTTGGGTGCCGTGGGGTCGGCCAGGCCAGCAGAAAGAGGGGTTGGGGGGTGTTTCTGCTCTGCTCCCCCCCCCCCCCACGGAAAAACCCAGTGGGGGGATGCCCCGGCTGTGCGAGATGGCAGCGGGTTTTGCTTCCCTTTTCTGCTGAAGAAGAGATGAGTCGCTTTTCCCGTTCCGGGGGGGGGGGGGGGTTGACGATGGGGGGGTGGGGAGGTCACAGTGCATGACCCGCAGCCCCGCTCGCCCGCCCACACCCTCTCCCCAGCACCCCAAATCCCGGCGGAGCACCCCAACAGCGTGGAGGGTGCCCGGGGTCCCGCTGGAGTGGGGGATGCTGAGCCCCGGGGGATAGGCACTGTGTGTGGACCCCCCCCCCTTGGGGCTGTGGGGACGAGTTGGGGGCATGATCCGGGGGGGGGTGGGGGGAGGGGAGCTGAAGCCCTCCTGCCCCCCCCTCCTCCTCCTCCTCCCTCACCTCCTCGCAGCGGCGATGCTCCCAGGGGCACAAGCGTTCCCCCTTGCGCCCCGTCCCCTTCCTTGGCAGCCCCACTGACTCAGCCTTCCCTGGGACGGGTGCCCGCTGGGTGCCGGCTCATCCCGGGGTGCCCACGGACCCACAGCCCCATTTTGGGGGGGGGCAGGGTTGTAGGTCGCGCCGTGTCCCGCTGCGGGGCCGTGGCTGGGGCTCGGGGGTCACCCCGTTTCCCCGAGGGATGGGGAGCTGCGGGCTGGGTGGCCTCACTTCACCCCTGTCCCCTGGGAGACCTGCCCCTTGCACCCCGCTTCTGGTCACGGCAGCTTCCCCGTGTCACCCCCCCCCCCCGGGGCCAAATCCTGCCCATCCGTTCCACCGCCGACGTTGTCCTTGGGCTCCACAGCGGCTCTTCCCACCCGTGTCCTTCCCCCGGGTATTTATAGACGACGACGGGCTCGGGCCGCATCTCCCCTCTGCAACGGGGTGTCCCCAGCACCCCGGTACTCCCTGGGGTGCCCCCCGGCAGCCCCTCGGGGCAGCAAACTGCCCCCGCCCCCCACCCGGGCTCTGGGGCTGCAGTGGGACCCCTCTCACTCCCTGCTCCTGTCACCCTGATCCTCCTCCTCCCACTCTCCTGCTCCCACCCACCCAGATTCTGATCCCCTCGATCCTGCCCCCACTGCCCTGATCCTGCTCACCCTGCTCCTGTCCCCATCACCCTGTTCCTGCCCCCGTTGCTTTCCTCCTGCTCCCCCACCTCTGCCCCTTCTCCCACCACCTCGGACTCGTCTCTCTGCTCCGAGCCCCGCAGACCCCAGCGGGGTGTCATGTCCCCCCCCCTCCCCCCCAGGCCTTGGGGCACCCCCACCGCCGCAGCCTGGTGCCGAGCAAACCCTTCGCGCCGCGTTTTGCGACCAAAAACTGAGGCCGAAGGCCGGGTGTGCGTTTGTGACCTGCCCGGGATCCCGCGCTGTGCGAGCAACCCCCAGCCGGCTTCCTGCTGCTACGGGGGGGGGGGAGCAAGGGGGGGCTGCCAGCCATGGTCCACGGCTCCCCCGTGCTGCGGCCCCCTTTGTGGGCTGAACACCCGGGGATCCCCCCCCGCCCTCCAGCCCCGCTGTGGAAACAGTTTTGCAGCGGGGAAACTGAGGCACGGCACCGCTGGGGGGGGGGGGGGGGCCGGGTCCCCCACTTGTCGTGCGTGTCCCCCCCGGGGGGGGGGTGCAGGCAGGGAGCCAGGCAGGGCAGGGGTCACGGCGCAGCCGGCCCCGGCGCGGGCAGGAAGCCGGGTGTCAGGGTGGGAAGGGGAAGAGCGACTTCCCCATCCGAGGGGGCAGCGTCCGGCCCGGCCAGGGCTCGGGGTGGGGGCTGTGGCCCCTTCGCCTCCCCCAGCCACGCTGCCTGCCCCAATCTGGCCCCGCGGGTGGGCACCCTCCCTGCACCGTGGGGCGCCCCCCCCCCCCCCCACGCCGTGGCTGGGCTGGGCTCGGCGGCGCCCAGCTCCCGCCCGCAGCAGGAAGGGGGGAGCAGGATGCGGCCCCTTAATGGCAATTGCAGAGGGAGCCCGAGGAGGGGAAACGGGCGCTGGGCTCGGGGATAAACACAGCTGCCGGAGCGGACGTCAGCCCCGAGGGGCCACGGCACCAGTCCTGCTTGGGGCGTGCGGCACCGGGGCTGGCGGCACGGCACAGCATGACATGGCATTGAACAGCATGGCGTGGCATGATATGATATGGCACAGCATGGCGTGGCATGGCACAGCATGTCATGGCGTGACGTGGCATGGAATGGCATGGCATGGCACGGCATGGCATGGTACAGCATGGCATGACATGATATGGCACGGCATGGCATGACATGATGTGGCATTGCATGGCATGACACAGCATGATATGGCATGGCACAGCATGGCATGACATGGCACAGCATGGCATGATGTGGCGTGGCATGGCATGGCACGGCATGACATGATGTGGCATGGCACAGTATGGTATAGCATGATGGCACAGCATGGCATGACATGGCACAGAAATGCATGAGATGATATGGCACAGCACAGCATGGCACAGCATGACATGGCATGGAACAGCATGGCATGGCATGATATGGCATGGCATGACATGACATGATGTAGCATGGCACAGTATGCTATGGCATGGCACAGCATGGCATAGGATGGCATGGCATGATGGCATGGCACGGCACAGGATGGCATGGCATGACATGACATGATATGACATGACACGGCATGGCATGGAACAGCACGATGTGGCATGGCATGGCATAGCATGGCACGGCATGGCATGGCATGACATGGCATGGCACAGGGCACTGCAGCAGCCTGGCTGGCCTGGGAGCACGTCCTGGGGACAGCGCTGTCCCCATGCCCACCAGCCACGGTGGCACATGCGTTCCCCCCCCCCGGGAGGGGGGGGATGCAGTTCCCTGGGGGGGGTCTCAGGGCTGCCCCTGGCTGGGAACCCCCCCGGAGCTGGGGGCTGGAGGGCGGACCCAGCGTCACCCAGCCCTCTGTACCCTCGGAACCACGGCCACCCCAGCCCCGCCGCCCTCCCCTGACCCTGACCCTGTCCCCTCCCCACAGGCTGCTGAAGGGAGGGACGAGCCGCGGGGATGCAGAGCATCAAGTGCGTGGTGGTGGGCGACGGGGCGGTGGGGAAGACCTGCCTGCTCATCTGCTACACCACCAACGCCTTCCCCAAGGAGTACATCCCCACCGTCTTCGACAACTACAGCGCGCAGAACACGGTGGACGGCAGGACTATTAACTTAAACCTGTGGGACACGGCTGGCCAGGAGGAGTACGATCGCCTCCGGACGCTTTCCTACCCCCAGACCAACGTCTTCATCATCTGCTTCTCCATCGCCAGCCCGCCCTCCTACGAGAACGTCAAGCACAAGTGGTACCCGGAGGTGTGCCACCACTGCCCCAGCGTGCCCATCCTCCTCGTCGGCACCAAGAAGGATCTGAGGAACAACCCCGAGACCATGAAGCGGCTCAAGGAGCAGAACCAGGCGCCCATCACCACCCAGCAAGGCGTCAGCCTCTCCAAGCAGATCCGCGCCGTCAAGTACCTGGAGTGCTCGGCGCTCAACCAGGAGGGCATCAAGGATGTCTTCACCGAGGCGGTGAGGGCCGTGCTCAACCCCGTCCCGGCCAAGCCCAAGAAGCCCTGCGTCCTCTTGTGACGGGGCTGCCGGTGGGTCACCAGCGAGAGACGATCCTGCCCCTGCCCCACCGCCCCCCACCCCGAGACACTGCCCGGTGCCGCCAGAACCCCCCTCTGCCCACCCCGGTGCCTCGCTGTCCCCTCCCCGGGGACGGTAGGACCGGGGCCACCAGCCCGAAACCGCCAGCTTTAATAATACAGAACCTCGTTTGCACTAACTGGTCGCCCGCCCCGGGGGCAGCGGGACACCCCCCACCCCCCCCCCCAGCCCCACAGGATCCCCCCCCACCCCGGTCCTGGCTGTCAGCGTTTGCTTTTGGGTGACGCCTCTCCGGTCCCGGCACAGAGCAATGAATGCTTCCTGAGAAGGGGGTGCCCCCGGGGTGGCCAAACCCCCTCCCCGCCCCAAGCATCCCAAAGGGACCTGCCACCCCCCTCCTCGAGCACCCCGTGGGGACCCGCCACCCCTGACCCTGCTGGGGGGGGGTGGGGGGTGGGGGAAAGGGAGGGGGTGTGCGGTGGGAGCCCCTCAGCCCCCCAGCGCTCAGCCACCTCCGAGCATCCCTCTGCCACGGCCCCATCCTGCTGTGGGGTGCTGGCGGCCGCGCCGGGGGGGGGGTGTGGGGGTGTGGGGTTGGGGGGGGTCTCCGGGGTGGGTGTTTGGGGTGAGGCGGGGAAGCCCGGCGCTGGCGAGAGCGGAGCCGGGGCTGCGCGGGGCGGTGGGACTCGCCTGTAACCAGCCGCTCCCCGAGTCGCTTCTCTTTTAATAAAAAGTTCTGCCCAGGCTCCCCCGTCTCCTGTGCTCTCCCCTCCCTGCGATCCCCCCCCCCCCCGCCTTCCCCGGGCACAGGGACACCCCCGCAGCCACCCCGGGGCGGGGACACACACACACACACACACAGACACGCACGGGTGCCCCCACCCCGAGCTGGACCAGGTCCCCTCATCCTGCCAAGGCTGAGCAGAGGGGGCTCAAACCGGGGTCCCTGCCCAGGGTGGGGGCTGCAGCTTGGGGTGCCCCTGCCATGGCCAGCCCGGACCCCCAGCCCCCGCCCCACGCCCACTCAGGGGACGTGAGAAGGCGTTGCAGGAGGTGGCCGCGGGGACGTTGCACTGGGTGGGAAACGGGGACACTGGGGACATTGCGGGGGGGGGGGGGGGGGGTGCTGCCGGAGCCCCGCCGCGGAGCCGCCGGCAGAAGCTAGAGCCCCCGTGTCCCCCACGCCCCGGGGGCTGCGGGGTGCCAGGGGACCCCGAGTCCCGCCGAGGATGAGGATGGCGGCTGCTGGGCCACCCCCCTCGCCAACCCCCCGGGGCACGTGCTGGCCAGTGGCCGGCTGGATTTTGGCAGGGCCCCCCCACCCCCCCCCCCGCCACTGCCACGCACACCCCGGCCCCTCGTCCGGCCCCGGGGCCTTTCCTGCAGGAAGGGCCAAGACCCGGGCGCCTGCCACAAGCCGCTTTTGTTCCCCGCTGCCATTTCCCGGGCAGAGCCGGGGGGGGGGGGGGGGGGGGGGGGGGGGGGGGGGCGTGGGGGGCCGCCGGGGGCCGGCGTGGGCGACGAAGTGCCCGCGGGGCAGGGTGGCTGCGGCCGCGTCCCGTCCCTGTCCCCTTCCCGTGGCCTTGGCGCAGCCTTCCGGGGGTCGGTGCAAAGTGTGGACACCCCCTTCCCCCCCCCCCCCCCTTCCCCCCCCCTTCCCCCCCCCTCCCCCCCCCCTTCCCCCCCCCCCCCCCGGCTCTGCCCGGGAAATGTGCCGAACCCTCCTCCCACCGTGGGGGATCTCCCCATTCCCACGGGGGTTGTGTGCGTCCTGCTCCCACTGCAGCCGCAGGATTTGACCCCACTATTGTTTTTTTGGGGGGAGGGGGTGTGGGGGGGTGGTCCCTTCTTTGGGGCCAGGGCACCCAAAGGGCCATGCCCCCCCGCGCAAGGGCTGAGCCATGGGTGCTGTGGTGTGGGGACCCGGGGTGCTGCAGTCGGGGTGTCCCCGTGCCCGGGAGGTTCTCCTGCCAGGGCACCGACACAGACAGACCCCCCCGCCCCCCCACCCCCACCCCCCCCGGACTGGCGGGGTGCTGGGGCAAGGCGGGGACCCCGGGGTGGGACGCCGAGAGGGGAGCAGCAGGGCTGTGGCCCTGGCCCCGGCGCGATGAGCTCATGGCTGTTCCCCTCCCAGCTGCGATGAGGTCAGGACCCCACCATGAACCACCCCCCCACCCTCCCCCGGCACGGGGCAGAGGGGAAACTGAGGCCCCTGGCAGCTCCCCTGCCCCCCACTCCGCACCCCCAGTTGTGCCCACCCCAGCCCTCCCGGCCCCGTTGGCCCCCGCAGCACCCGTGGGCTGGGTGGGGAGCGGAGCCTCCAGCTGTGGGGTGGACACAGACCCTGGCACCCAGTGGGGGCGGGGGGGAGGCTCCCATCCCACCCCACATCCTGCACCCCAGCACCCCAAGGCCACATCCTTGCACCCACAGGCCAGACCCCACCCCGACACGGGGTCACCGGGAAGGGATGGGACCCACCGGCCGGGCCGGGTGGAAGCGGCGTAGAGTTTGCCGAGAGCTCACAAAAAATACTCGGTGTTTTATTTCCACTTCAAACCCGAGGCGCAGATGCCACACGCATGCAGGGCAGCAGGGATGGATGGGAGCCCGGGCACGGCGCTCCCCGAATTCCCGACGGCTCCTGGTGCTGACAGGCCTCAGCCCCCTGCTCGTTCCTCTCCCAGAGCCTCCAGCAGCGAGCCCTGCGCTACGGCTCCGAGCCCAGCACCGGCTCCCCGCTGCACAGGATGCGGCCGTGGCCCCTGCGAGCCAGAGCCTGCCAGCACCCAGCTCCCACCCCGACAGCACCCGACACCCACCCTGGCAGCCAGAGCCCGCAGATGGGGGGGTCCCCACCAAGCCCCCAGGGCAAGCAGCGGCACCGCTGAACCCCAGCAGCCGCCAGCTCAAGCCCCACGGCCCAGGGGAAGCCGCACGGGCGTCAGAGCCAGGACCTCCGGCACCAGCCCACTCGCCCCACTCACCCTTCCTCCCCAAACTGGGCTGGAACTGGAGCACAGCACCCCGGCGGGCACCCTCTGCTCGCCGGAGGGGGCTTCTGCCAGAGGCAGAGCAGGAGAGCAGGGATGCTCTCGGCCTCGGCTGCGCCCCTGCCCTCGCCGTGCTCCCACGCAGCCAGCGCCTCGGGCGACGCTCCCGTCCCAGCACCACGGGCACGGGTGGGCCGGGACCCTGCCCCGGCGCCGGATGGGAGAGCAGCACCCGGGGTCAGCCCCCCAGCTCGGGAGGAGCCTGGACCCAGCCCCGCGCACCGCAGCACGGGCCCGGCTCTGCCCCAGCCCCTGCAGCCTCCAGAAGTCCGAGGCTGGGGGCTGCTCCGCTTTTTGAGGGGGGGGAGGGTGTGCAACCAGAGAGATGCAGGGGCAGCAAGTGCTCCTGCTCCCCAGGCTGCCTGAAAAGCCACGGTTTTTGAGGACCTTGGCCGAGGACCCCCAGCCTGGAGGAGGAACCGTGGGAGCACCCAGGCGAAGCAGGGGCAGGGCAAGGCTGGTCCCCGCCGTGCCCCGGCGCTGGGGGCACAATCCTGCTCTGCCCGGAGCATCCTCCAACGGAACAGGCAGCAGGTACCTGCCCCCCTTCTCTGTCCTCCTACCCACGCCGGGAGCCGGCCGGGAGCCAGGGCAGGGGGTCCCAGCCTCGAGGGTCCCCTGCAAGAGCCCCCAGTTCCCCCTGTAAAAGAACTCCAGGCGCAGCCAGGGACCATGCACAGATTGGCAGGACCCGGGACGATCCTTGCAGCAGCTCCACAGCAAACACCCCAACCCCGGGGGGCAGCGGGAGGGGGAAGGGGCTTTCTGCCTCCCCCAGGGGATGAGCAGCCCCCCGTCCGGCACCGGCACCACGGCCGGCTAGAAGTGCTTGTCCTCCAGCAGCGAGCTCACCACCAGCTCCTTGTTGCCGAAGTCCCAGAAGGCAGTCATGTGGAAGGCCATGTTGGAGAGGACAACCAGGTACTCCAGGAAAGCGAAGACGGTGTACACTGGCAGAGGAAACACAGCAAGTGAAGGGAACCCGCAGCCAGGTCGGCCCCGGGGAGCTGGGGGATCTCCTGGGGCACCCCTCCTCGGGGCAGGGGGCTCGTCGCCTGCTTGAACCCAGGTGGGAGGAGGAGGGTGGCTGGGCGCTGTCCCTCCCGGGGGAGCAATCCTGGCTGGGATTTGGCAGGCAAGGCGTCAACCCCAGTCCCCTCCCCGGCCACATCCCCGCCCCGGCACGGCTGAGCTGCAGGGGGACCCACATCCTTGCCCGGCCCCCTCACCTCCAGGGCTGCAGTACCAGTTGTGGTGGAAGTAGACGCACACGGCAAACGCGAACGTGATGAAGGTGAAGAAGAAGAGCAGCTGCTTCCACTTGTACGACTTGCGCTCCTGGAAGAAGCCAAGAGCTGGGTCACAGCCCCGATCCCATCCCCGTCCCTCTCAGCCCTCGCCCCTGCGCACCCCGGAGATGCTGGAGCAGCCACCCTCATCCCTGGGGAAGCTCAGCCCTGGCCCCCCCCAGCCCCGGGGGGGCACGGGCAGGCACTGGGGGAGCCCCTCTGCACCCCAGTTCCTTGGGCACAGTCCTTGGGTAAGGACCACGGGCTGCACCGGCTGCTTTGGGAGGGCTGTGACCGTGGGGATCGCACCTCTGCAGCGATAAACCGAGCTGCTGCCGGGGCTCCCCGGGGGGGGGGGGGGGGGGGGAGCTGGGGGGGGGAGGCATCCATGGGGGGCTGCAGCGTGCCCAGGGATGCGCAGAGCGGAGCTTGTCTGACAGCAACGAGCCGCAGTGGTGCTGGGATGCAGCCGGGGCCCCCGCAGCCCCCCCAAACGCTGGCCAAGGGGCTCTACCAGATGGTAAATCCTCCGGCTGCAGGTAGCCCCAAGCTTCCCACCCCACCCCCCCCCCCCACCCCCCCACCCCGGGGTGCTGCCCAACCGCCCCGGCGCGGGGAATTCACCGGCACCCCATCGCTCGCAACTGCGCCGGGGGAGGAGGAAACCACATGAAGGGGCGGCAGCCGTGCGCGGAGCCATCGCATGAGCCGCCCTGGCACCGGGCGGGGGGCCCCATCCTGCCCCCCCCCCCACACACACACCCTCCCCAGCACCATCTCCGACAGCGCAGCGGGCGGGAGCAGAGCTGCTACATTTGCATTGGCAGAGTCGTGTGTGTGTCCCCCCCCCACACACACACCCCCTGGCACAGGGGGCACCCAGGGACCGGCCGGCTCCCCCTCAGTGGGGTCCCCCCAACCCATCTCCCTGCCCGCACGCTGCCCCACCGAAGCTGGGGGGGGGTACCAGCTCCAGCCCCATTCCTCCCTTTCTCCCATCACGCTGAGCATCGTGGATAAAGAAAAACTAAAGTCCTGGGGTGCGCAGGGAGCCCCGTGGCAGAGGAACCCCAAACCGCAGCCAGACACCAAGGGGGGCTTAGGGGGGACCCCAGTGTCCCCGTCCCAGTGCAGGGTGGCCAGCATGCCGAGCCCTGGGGCAGGGGGGCCGGGAGGGAGGGGGTCAGCCCCATAGAAGGGGGCTGGGGATGCCACGGACGGCCCAGACGTGGGCTGTTATTCCTGTTTCTGGGTGGGAGGGGAATTTCCCCGCCGTCTGACGCTTCACGTGAGACAGAAACTCCATTTCCAGGGACCGCTGAGAACGAGGAAAATTTAAATCGCCCCATCACACTTTCCATTACACACACACCCCCCCCCCCCCCAACCCCTCCGGAAAGCACAGCAGCGGGCTCAGCCCCCACGCCCCACGAGCACAAACAGGTCACGGCAGGGAGGAAAACCCAAAGAGGAAGGACGGCCCCGTGGTCACCTTCGGCATCTGGGGACACGGGGCCACCTCCGCCCCGCGGGGCCCCGGCAGGTCCCTTCCCGCTGGGGCTGACCAGGGTCCCTCTCCCCAGCCGGGACCCTCCGGCGGCTGGGCTGCCCCCAGGCCCCCCCAACCCGCTCCCCCCCCCAGGGAGCAGGAGGCGGCTGGTGCTCGGCCCTGGGGGTGCGGGGCCAGGCGAGCGCCCGGTGCAAACCCAACCCGGGAGTTAAATAACAACGAGCAGCCGGAGGCCGAGGCGTTATGTAAAGTTTCACACCGGAAAAAAGCAGGTGGCAGAAAAAGCCCTGGCTGCTTCACCCAGGTCCCACGGCAGCGGAAACGGGGGCGCGACGGAAGCGGCGGCCAGAGTCCCGCGCCCCGCTGCGCGTCGCCCCGCGTGTCACCGTGCTGCACCGCGTGTCACGGGGCACCGTGCTGTGTCCTGTGTCACAGGGCACCGTGCTGCACCACGTGTCACAGGGCACTGTGCTGTGTCCTGTGTCACCGGGCACCGTGCTGCACCGCGTGTCACAGGGCACTGTGCTGCACCACGTGTCACAGGGCACCGCGACATACTGCACCGCGTGTCACAGGGCACTGTGCTGCACCGCGTGTCACAGGGCACCGTGCTGCACCGCGTGTCACAGGGCACCGCGACACACTGCACCGCGTGTCACAGGGCACCGTGATGTGTCATGTGTCACAGGGCACCGTGCTGCACTGCGTGTCACAGGGCACCGCGACATACTGCACCGCGTGTCACGGGGCACCGTGCTGTGTCCTGTGTCACAGGGCACCGTGCTGCACCGCGTGTCACAGGGCACCGCGACATACTGCACCGCGTGTCACAGGGCACCGTGATGTGTCATGTGTCACAGGGCACCGTGCTGCACCGCGTGTCACAGGGCACCGCAACATACTGCACCGCGTGTCACAGGGCACCGTGACATACTGCACTGCGTGCCACGGGGCACCATGATGTGCCACGTGTCACAGGGCACCATAACATGTTGTGTCACGTGTCACAAGGCGCTGCATCATGCTGCACCGCATGTCACAGGGCACCACGACATACTGCACCGCGTGTCACAGGGCACCGTGATGTGTCATGTGTCACAGGGTACCACAACATGCTGCACCATGTGTCACAGGGCACCGTGACATGTCACAGGGCACCGCGACATGTCATGTGTCACAGGGCACCGCGCCGTGCTGCACCGCGTGTCACAGGGCACTATGACATGCCAAATCATGTGTCACAGGAAACTGCGACGTGCCGCTCGTGAGTCACAGGGCATTGTACCATGCTGCTCGTGTCACAGGGCACTGCGCCGTGCTCTGCTGCGTGTCACACAGCACTGCAACATGCTGCATGTCACAGGTGTGCAGTTCGTGTGTCACAGGGCATCGCGGCATGCTGTGTGTCACTGCCCCGTGTCCCAGCGCCTGTCACAGGGCACTGTGCTGTGCTGCGTGTCACTTCCCCATGTCACAGGGCACTGTGCTGTGCCACGCTGCGTGTCACCGCCCCGTGTCCCACCGCGTGTCACAGGGCACTGTGCTGTGCTGCGTGTCACTTCCCCATGTCACAGGGCACTGTGCTGTGCCCCGCTGCGTGTCACCGCCCCGTGTCCCAACGCGTGTCACAGGGCACTGTGCTGTGCCACGCTGCGTGTCACCACCCCGTGTCCCACCGCGTGTCACAGGGCACTGTGCTGTGCCCCGCTGCGTGTCACCGCCCCGTGTCCCAACGCGTGTCACAGGGCACTGTGCTGTGCTGCGTGTCACTTCCCCGTGTCACAGGGCACTGTGCTGTGCCACACTGCGTGTCACCGCCCCGTGACCCACCGCGTGTCACAGGGCACTGTGCTGTGCTGCGTGTCACTTCCCCGTGTCACAGGGCACTGTGCTGTGCCACGCTGCGTGTCACCGCCCCGTGTCCCAACGCGTGTCACAGGGCACTGTGCTGTGCTGCGTGTCACTTCCCCGTGTCACAGGGCTCTGTGCTGTGCTGCGTGTCACTTCCCCGTGTCACAGGGCACTGTGCTGTGCCACGCTGCGTGTCACCGCCCCGTGTCCCACCGCGTGTCACAGGGCACTGTGCTGTGCTGCGTGTCACTTCCCCGTGTCACAGGGCTCTGTGCTGTGCTGCGTGTCACTTCCCCGTGTCACAGGGCACTGTGCTGTGCCACGCTGCGTGTCACCGCCCCGTGTCCCACCGCGTGTCACAGGGCACTGTGCTGTGCTGCGTGTCACTTCCCCGTGTCACAGGGCACTGTGCTGTGCCACGCTGCGTGTCACCGCCCCGTGTCCCACCGCGTGTCACAGGGCACTGTGCTGTGCTGCGTGTCACTTCCCCATGTCACAGGGCACTGTGCTGTGCCACGCTGCGTGTCACCGCCCCGTGTCCCACCGCGTGTCACAGGGCACTGTGCTGTGCTGCGTGTCACTTCCCCATGTCACAGGGCACTGTGCTGTGCCCCGCTGCGTGTCACCGCCCCGTGTCCCACCGCGTGTCACAGGGCACTGTGCTGTGCTGCGTGTCACTTCCCCGTGTCACAGGGCACTGTGCTGTGCCACACTGCGTGTCACCGCCCCGTGACCCACCGCGTGTCACAGGGCACTGTGCTGTGCTGCGTGTCACTTCCCCGTGTCACAGGGCACTGTGCTGTGCCACGCTGCGTGTCACCGCCCCGTGTCCCACCGCGTGTCACAGGGCACTGTGCTGTGCTGCGTGTCACTTCCCCGTGTCACAGGGCACTGTGCTGTGCCACGCTGCGTGTCACCGCCCCGTGTCCCACCGCGTGTCACAGGACACTGTGCTGTGCTGCGTGTCACTTCCCCGTGTCCCAGGGCTCTGTGCTGTGCTGCGTGTCACCGCCCCGTGTCCCACTGCGTGTCACAGGGCACTGTGCTGTGCTGCGTGTCACTTCCCCGTGTCACAGGGCACTGTGCTGTGCCACGCTGCGTGTCACCGCCCCGTGTCCCACCGCGTGTCACAGGGCACTGTGCTGTGCCACGCTGCGTGTCACCGCCCCGTGTCCCACTGCGCGTCACAGGGCACTGTGCTGTGCCACGCTGCGTGTCACCACCCCGTGTCCCACCGTGTGTCACAGGGCTCTGTGCTGTGCTGCGTGTCACTTCCCCGTGTCACAGGGCACTGTGCTGTGCCACGCTGCGTGTCACCGCCCCGTGTCCCACCGCGTGTCACAGGGCACTGTGCTGTGCCACGCTGCGTGTCACCGCCCCGTGTCCCACCGCGTGTCACAGGGCACTGTGCTGTGCTGCGTGTCAGTTCCCCGTGTCACAGGGCACTGTGCTGTGCCCCGCTGCGTGTCACCGCCCCGTGTCCCATTGTGTGTCACAGGACACTGTGCTGTGCTGCGTGTCACTTCCCCGTGTCACAGGGCACTGTGCTGTGCTGCGTGTCACCGCCCCGTGTCCCACTGCGTGTCACAGGGCACTGTGCTGTGCCACGCTGCATGTCACCTCCCCGTGTCCCACCGCGCGTCACAGGGCACTGTGCTGTGCTGCGTGTCACTTCCCCGTGTCACAGG